GAGTCAGTTCTCCACAGTCTATAGATACAAAATATGCCACATCTCCAAGACATCATCAGGCTGGGACCCATTCCTTATGGGAGAGGCCTTACCGAGGATCCTAGACCAGCCAAGCTGACACAAGACTTCACTGTTACAGTCTAGATCCAGCTTGTTTTTCTCTCCCAATCATGATATTCAGTATTCCCATCTGCTGTTGTTTCCTTCCTCTCTTGTTCTATCTTTGTGACTTTGTACCTGTTTTATTCATTTATTGCCCTCTTGATGATAATTCATTGGCTAGACATGACTTTATTTTAGTTAAACGGAACTGTATTCGTTTATTTTTAAAGCGAAGAACAGGCAGCCAGAGAGGGACAGATCTTTGCCCAACGTCACACAGTGAGTTAAAAACAGAGCTGGACAGGGTTGTGTGCTCTTTGCTCCCACACAACCTGCCCCTGGTGAGACCAGCACCCTGAGGGAGGCCCTGGGAGACCATGCAGAGGAGATGGCCGGGTGTCTCAGACAGACCTGCTCCTGTCAACCATTGCTGGGTGACGGACGGTTCTGGAGTCACAGAGGCCCGAGTTCCTTTGTCTGTGACATCGAGGTGCTGTTGCCACTGCTAGAAATCGTCGAACAGGTCCCGGCCCATAGCGACCCCATGGACAGCAGACGAACCCTTGCCCGGCCCTGCGGCTTCCTCTCAGGGGTTCCTGTGTTTGAGCCCATCGGTGCAGCCTCTGGGCCAATCCATCCGTCTCCTTGAGGGTCTTCCTCTTTCTCACCGGCCCTCCACTTTACCGAGCAAGGTATCTGTTTCCGGGGGGTGGTCTCTTCTTGATACGCTGTCCAATCCTGGATTGGAAAGGAGCAGTCTGGCTGTGCCTCCTCCCAGACGAGTGTAGGTGTGGTGAAGACCAAACCCCTGTCCCACATGCCCTGCCCTCTGACACGCCAGACACCCACAGCCCCCACAACTGAGTGGGTGCCAGGGGGCGGTTGTATAATTGAAGGGTAAATCAAAGAGACATCAGACAAGACAAAGCATGCAAGGGCTCCCCTCTGTTGCCATGACTTCAGGAGCTAGGTTTGCACAGAGAGAGACTGATTATTTTTCCAGTAACAGCTTATATACTCTCAGGGGGTGTGCAAGCCCCCCCTAACTATAGGTAACCACATAGGTAAAAAGTGGGCGGTACCCGAACCCTAAAGGTCCCTGAGTTCATTGGGGGAGTAACCTAACAGTGCTGGGCAGGTAAGGGGGAGTGGCTGTCTTCAGAGCCCAGAGAGCATATGTCTGCTCCTGTAGATAAAGCTGCATCAGCCATGTGCTTGTAAGACAGCACTATCACTGCAGATACAGTGGGGGACAATATTGATTATGAGAATATGATTGGGACTTGTCTCTAACTCGCAAGGGGGAAGGCCTCCCTTCACCCAGAAACCCAGCCTACCAGGGTTCTTAATATATGAGAATAAAGGATTCGTTCGCACCCACTCTCTTCCTGTTCTCTGTGTCCACAGTTAGAGGCCCATCTTTTTTAAAAATTATTGTTGAAAATATTCATAACAAAACTCTCTTCTCAATCAAATTTCTACAGGCACACACCGATGGCTTCTTTGGGGTTTTGCGATCACGCTTTCATTCCATGACCATTACCAAGAGCCTGACGGACAGCGGGCTCTTTCACCCTAATGACCATCACCCACTTTTTCTTGGACAGGACCAGTTCGTGGCTGACCAGCACAGGCATGGATCACTGTGGGGTTCTTCTCCTCTGCCTCGGCCTTTGTCTTGTGGCTTCTCAGAGCAGGAAAGCCGGTAAGGGGCTTCGCTGAATTAGGGTGTAGTCCTAGCCCAGCGCCATGGGTACAACGTGAACCGTGGAAGCCCCGCACCAAGGACTATGGAAGAGAGGTCATGTAGACTTCCTGAGGGGTGGCAATGTTGGTGAACCAGGAACCAGAGCCCCTGGGGCAGGGGCTGAGGAGAGAGGACCAGGTGAAGGGCTGGCTCTTATTCCCAACAGAGGCCTCGCAGGAAGTCCTGAGGTTAATAGAGCAACTGGAGAGGATGGCCAAGGCACGTCAGACTCCATCTCAGTGAGTTTCGGCGTCAGCCCTACCTCCTGCCCCTGTCCGGGGCAGTGATCCCAGCTCACTCATTCAACAGCTAGCTCTTGAGCACCTTCAGCATGCCCTGTGCTGTGCTTTGGTGATACAAGATGGGTGTGCCCCAGCCTCATTGACCTTCTCTTGTGAGGTATAGGGGGGTGGGGGTGGGCGGGGAGGTTAACGGTGTGTGTGCCTCTTTGCCTTTTTGCGGGACAGGGCTCTTAGACTTTGCCTGGGTTGTCCCAATCTGTGACTCAAAAGTTGAGCCGCACCAATGACTGACTGAGTAGGGCGACGAAATTCAACAGAGGAGGAAGCACTTTACTCGGTAAAAAGGGTCAGGGGAGCAGTCAGGGAAGACTTCCTGGAGGAGGTGATGGCAAACTGGAACTGGCAGGAGCTCTGAGAGAGATAGAGGCCAGGGTGTGCCAAGTGGATGGACCCGTGTGTACAGAGATGGGGGCGGCAGGGGGGTACTGTGTCCCCTGGGGCTGTCCAGCAGCCTCACCTGTCCCCACCCCACCCCCACCCCCCGTTCTGGACTCTGCTCCCTCTGACCAGGCACCAAGGCCGCAAGCACATCCAGGAGCTGGAGAACCTGCTGCTGGACACCCCCTTTGAGGGCAGCAACCTGACCGCGCAGACCTCGTGGCCCCTCATCCAGTCCCTGGCCTTCAAGCTGAACTGCGCCTTCCCTGGCCTGATGCTGAGCAGCGGCGCGCTGGGGCCACTCCCTGAGGTCAGGAGGCTGAGGGTGCCGGGTAGCCAGCCCCCTGCTTCCAAACCCCCAAACCTCTCCAGCGGTTGGAATTCTGGGCTTGGCCCAGGCTCCTCCCTCACCCCTGAGGTCCACCTTCTGCCCCAACTAGCTTTGAGTGGCCTCAAAGCTAGTGAATGTGCAATGGAGGGGCTTGGTAGCCACTGGAGGGCAGTTTGGGGTGAAGGGCAGGGCCCTGGGGGGCAGCAGTGGGCAGGCCTTTGAAGACCTGGGCGTGGTGCTGGTGGGAGGCCTGGCCCAAATGCAGCACGGGGGGCCTGGAGGCGCCCTAGGGCTGGAGAGGGAGCGGGGAGGGGGTTCAGGGTGGGGTAAATGGCTCCTGTTCAGAACCCACGCCCACAGCTCGGGGATCAGCCTGGGGGATCTTAGGCAACTTGGGAGTGGGGTTCCACGAGGGAGGTGGCCGGGACCGGCCAGCAGAGCTCCATGGAGAATGGGGGAACTCAGAAGGTGGACCCAGGGAGGCAGGCCTTGGAGGCCGAGCAAGCAAGCCAAGCCTGCCCATGGCTCTCCCCAGGCCCGGCCGCCCCACTCCATGCAGTTCCCAGCCGAGCTGACCCAGGAAGCTTGCCAGGCCCCCATCAGGGAGCTACGCCTCATCTGCATCTACTTCTACACCTCCTTCTTCTTTAAGGTCAGCGCCCCTGGGGGGCCAAGGAGGGCAGGGGTTGGCCTCTGGGTGGGGCACCTGCCCCAAGAGGGTAAGAGGTGGGGGTTCACTCCAGGTGCAGCCTGGGCCAGCCACTGCCTCTTTCCCCGCCGCCTACCGTTGGGCTGCGTGACTGCAGTCCACAGAAACCTTTGGCATGTCCACCCCTGGAAGGCCGTGACATGGACCCTTAGGAAGCTCGTCACGTCCACATTTAGTGTAGGGTCTTTAGAAACGCAGCACCATCGAGTCGAGTAGACTCATAGCAACCCTATAGGACAGGGTGGGACCTATAGCAACCCTATAGGACAGGGTGGGACCTATAGCAACCCTATAGGACAGGGTGAGACCTATAGCAACCCTATAGGACAGGGTGGGACCCATAGCAACCCTATAGGACAGGGTGGGACCCATAGCAACCCTATAGGACAGGGTGGGACCTATAGCAGCCCTATAGGACAGGGTGGGACCGCCCTGTGTGCTTCCAAAACTGTGACTCTTTACAGGAATAGAAAACTTCATCCTCCTCCCTCGGAGCGGATGGTGGTTTCTAAACTTCTGACCTTGAGGCCAGCAGCCCAATGTGTAACCACCAAGCCACCAGGGATCCTTAAGGGTAGGACCACGGAGACTTAATTTTAACTCAAGGTTGACTAAAACCCCAAATCCAAACTCACTGCCATTGAGTCTACAGGAGTAGAAAGCCCCTCTTTCTCCTGTGGAGTGGCTGGTGGTTTCAAACTGTTGACCTTGTGGTTAGGAACCAACCCCCTAGGCCAGGGGCCGACAAACTTGTGAGACAGAAGAGCCCCCTCCTGTCCCTCCCAACAATTCAAAATTCATGCCAGAGCCATCAATCTATATTTACAAACAAATGAAATCACCACGATCCGAATAATATCCTTTAAACGAAGCGACGAGACTCGTATTTCCATTTTCAATCTCACTTCAGAGCCACATGCATGTGCCCAAAGGGCTGAGTACGGCTGCCTCAGTTGGCCAACTCTGGCCCTATGCGATGTGGGGGCGAGTTGGGCTAGGGTGGGGCAGGTCAGGAGACCTTCGGAGAAGTTACCTTTTACCTTGGCTTTGAAGGTGAGCTATCATGGGCGTGAGGTGGAGGGCGCAAGGCTAGAATGTAATAAGCAGCTGGGAGGTGGAACAGGGTCTGGAGAGAGTGGGAAGAGGTCATTCAAAAGCCGGGAGGCTGGCCTGCTCTGTACACCCAAGAGGCACCCTCTGTGTCCTCGTCCCAGGAGGGAGGAGGTGGTGGGGTCCCCTTCAGCCAGCATTTTCCACTGCCCTTCCAGGATGACCCCAACACAGTCCTGCTCAACGACTACGTCCTTGGGGCCCAGCTGGGCCACTACCACGTGAGCAACCTCCGCAAGCCAATCAACATCAGCTTCTGGCACAACCGGAGCCTGGTACTGTTGGGGTGCCCCATTCGCACCCCACGTCTCTCTCGCTTCTGCCTCGCCCAACCCAAACCCATGAAGCCATCTTGGAAATGGACTCACACCCCCTGGAATGTTGCCAAAATTTTTAATCCACTACACTGGCTAAGAAATACTCCCCCCCACGCACCCCACTGAGAAGCAGCTGCTTGTATGTGCCGCACGGTCACGGTTCCCCCACTTGCAGGTGGAGGGGCAGCTTAAGCACAGAAGGTAACACCGCGGGGTAGGCTGCCTGCCTCCTCCTTATCAAGTAACTGGAGTGAGTGTGCAGGAGTGCTGGCTTCAGGCATGGCTGGATCCAGGCACTGATAGGGTTTCACCCTGGCTTCTCTTTCTTGTCTCTTGGCGGTGCATTTCTGTTGGCTTACCACTTCCTGGAAAAATGGCTGCCGGGGCACCGGCTTCCTTCCCCTCTTCCCAGCAAGCTCTTCTCTAGCAAACCCAGGTTCCAGAATGGAGTTCTACCTGCTGGTGATCAGGGGGATGGAACGTGTGGATTGGCTAGGTCCGGGGTCGGCCAACTTGGCTAGAGACGGAGGAGCTAATCCTGTCCCTCACAGTAACTTAAACATTACTCAAGAGCCACAAATATGTTTTTACAAATAAGGAAAAATTAAAGTCCTCGTGTAAACAAAACCTGGATAGTTTTATTTTCATTTTCAATTTCACATCAGAGTCACGTGTACTTACCACAAGAGCCACAGTTTGCCGACCCCTGGGCTTGACTATGGCCACTCGGGGGCCCCACACATCCGGGAGCATAAGCCACAGGGCCTCCCCTGCACCCTTTTGGCCGATCAACCTCTCAACGCTTGCTTCTCCCTGCAGGAAAACTACACACTGACTTGCGTCTTCTGGAAGGAGGGGGCTGGCAGGGACGGCTGGAGCTCCGAGGGCTGCCGCACAGAACAGGCCTCCCCTGGGCAGGTGCAATGCCATTGCAACCACCTGAGCTACTTCGCTGTTCTCATGGTAAAGTGTGCCCAGCTCAGGCGGACGGTGGGGTGGGGTGGGTCAGAGCTGCAGAGAACCCCACCTTCAGGGCAGAGGAGCAAGCCCAAGGCCGGCGTGAGAGACAGAAAACCTACCACAAATGGCCTTTAGCCATCAGAGGAAGTGTGAGGGCACACACTTCTCCAAGGTCCCGGTCAGACTTCCAGCATGGCTTGGTCCAGCGGCACAGCCCACAATAACAGATGGTACGCTGACCTCCGGCTGGTCCCTCAGCTCTGCTGGCGATCACCTGGCAGCTCCCAGGCTAGTGGGTGGGTGTGCCTCTTACCCACTTCTGCCTATCAGCTCTGCCAGGCTGAGCGGCCCAGCCTAGCCTGGGCCGTGTGTCTGTGCCTGAATTGTGGTTAGGAGGGAAGAGGGTGACTTTTCGGCAGACTGCACCTGTCTGCGCTCAGTGGGAGAGCAGTGGGGATGGAGCATCCCCAGAAAATGGAGTAAATCACCTGCGGTGGCCTTGTTCAGGGGCCCTGGTGGAGCAGTGGTTACGCGTTGGTCTGCTGACCACAAGGTCAGCAGTTCAAAACCACCAAGCAGGTCACTCCTGAGGTGAAAGATGGGGCTTTCTACTCTCATAGAGTTACAGTCTCGGAAGCCCACAGGGGCAGTCCTGCCTTGTCCCACAGGGTTGCTGAGTCATCAGTGATGCTGTGACAGTGAGTTTGAGGGTTGTTATTTTTTTTGACGGCCTTGTTCATTGAGCCTTTGTGGTGTGGTGGTCACACAGTGGGCCATGTGTTAGGCTGGGTTGACTAGAGAAACAAATTCCGTGACACTGAAATATGTGAGAAGGAGCTTTGCTCAAGAGGCCACTATATATCAAGAAAGCATCCCAGCCCAGTCCAACTCAAGTCCATAAGCCTGATGCTAGTCCATAAGTCCCTCCTTAGACTCACCCAGCCACAAGCAATGATGCACAATGTAGGATGATCACAGGCCGGTGGATGCAAAGTCTTATAGATCCAATGGCACTGGATGCATCTCTAGGGCTCGCCCAGGTCTCAGCATGGTTCCCTGGGCTGCCCAGGAAGGTGAAGGCAGGGAGAGAAGGGGAGGTTCCCAGGACCCTCCTTATGAGGAGGTCACGCCCACAAGGAGACATCATCAGGGTGTGACCTGATTGACAGGCTAGACTCCACTCTTATCCTTTAAGCTGACACCAGATTATGTAACTACCACAGACCACCCTTTGTCAACTTAACACTTTTACACAACTCGTTAGCCATTCAAAAGTTTTAAAACCAAGACAATAGTAAAATCATATTTGTGCCTAACAGAATAAAACTAAAATGCATACAATTCAAAATGTGCCAGCCGCATTTAACATTATATCCTATAAGTGAACAAAACAATTCTATACTTAACAATTGCAATTATGTGAACACCTATACTATAATTCTATCAAAATAACCCCCCACCCATGAGTGTTTATAAGCCAGCCACTTCAGCCTCTCTCCCCACAATTTTGGGTGTCCAATTTCTACCGTGCGCACGTTTATCGACCCAGTGCTCCGAGAAGACAAGCGTGTTCTTTGATGTGAAGAATCTTCATCCCACTTGGAACCTTGTGAGTCTACATCCATAAGCAAAGTCAAATCAGGACAGGCCACCCATAAAGCCAGCAGCCATATGCACCAGTTCACAGGCTCAAATATCTTATCTTCACCTGGTCGGGTTCTAGTCAATTTAAGTGGGCTGCCTCACTTAGCCTCACCAGGGTGCCCATTGGCTGCCTCACCTTTTGATTGTGGATCCCTTCACAAATTCTCAACAACCCTAGCCCCCTTGGGCTAGGTCATGCCACAGGCTTGGATTCTGCACAACTCTTTAAACTTCAGACCAGCCGACCCACCGTCTAGTCCATGTGGACCAGGGCCACAGGTGTCTGTGGCCAGACTCAATCCGTTTCTTTATTGCTGCGTTTCTCCCACTTCGACTCAACACGCGGATCCAGGTGGCATTTCAGGCTGCCACAGGCTCCCTTTAACGTTCAGTCCCAGAGAGGAGAGTTCTGTTGTGGCTCCAGACTTCTCCAATTTCAGGCACACACTTACGAATTCAAAAATCAAAGAGCCAAAGGGCTCCTTTTCTCCCGCCTTCAGTCTGTCAACAGTTCTCCAGGCAAGTCTCTTCAGACCCAAATCTACTGAGCACTCAGGGCACTGGGTGGGGCTTGTCTTTACAGACCTTTCTTTGCAGGGGTGTCCCATACCCATTGAAAGATCCAATTAAAAAATCATTTTATTGGGGGCTCATACAACTCGTATCACAATCCCCACATATATCCATTGTGTCAAGCACATGTGTACATTCGTTGCCATCATCATTCTCAAAACCTTTTATTTCTACTTGAGCCCTTGGTCTCAGCTCCTCATTTTTACCCTCCCTCCCCTTTCCCCACTTCCTCATGACCCCTTGGTAATTTATAAATTATTATTATTTTGTCATCGTCTTACACTGTCCAACGTCTCCCTTTACCCACTTTTCTGTTGTCCATCCCCCAGGGAGGAGGTTAAATGTAGATCCTTGTAATCGGTTCCCCCTTTCTCCCTCACCTTCCCTCTACCGTCCCAGTATCACCACTCTCACCACAGGTCCTGAAGAGATCATCTGTCCTGGATTCCCTGTGTTTCCAGTTTAAAGATCCAATTTTAGTGACCGAAGGCTGAAACCTTACAAACTCTATTTTCATACTTCCCCCAAATCATTTCTATCACACATGATATCAATAAAAAGGTGGAAGAAATCAGAATTAATCTAGTAGAGTCATATCCTAAACTCAGTCTTTACAAGTCAAATTCAATTCCTTTCTTATCTAAAGTATTCCATTCATATGGAATATAGCCTTAGGCCTCTGGCTGCATCAAGCCAGGGCGGGGCCATCTGTCAGCCATTCGACTAAGGCAGCGTGCATGGTCTCAGAGGAGAAGTTCAAGGGGCCATTTTGCCCCTCCGATCAAAATTTACATTAATCACATTCACGTTTGCCCTTTCAAACAGGAATAACCAAAGAAAAGAATCAAAACTTTCACTTCCCATGTTCTTTCCAGAAAACAATCAAATAAACAGTGTGTCTTTATCTGACCTCTGGCTAGCCAAAGACAAACTACTATACGGCAGCGGTCAAACACATATCCAATCTTCATCTTCACGATTTGGTTCCCTAGTACCCCACTCATGGTACCATAATATGTTAGGCCAGGTTGACTAGAGAAACAAATCCAGTGACACTCATATATATGTGAGAAGGAGATTTATATCAAGAGGCCACTATATATCAAGAAAGCAGCCCAGCCCAGTCTAACTCAAGCCCGTCAGCCTGATGCTAGTCCATAAGTCCCTCCTTAGACTCACCCCGCCACAAGCAATGGTGCAGAATGCAGGATGCACAGCAGCTGGTGGTGCAAAGCCTTGTGAGTTCATGGTGGTGGGTGCATATCCAAGGCTTGTGCAGGTCTCCACGTGGCATCCACAGGAAGGTGAAGGCAGAGGGGGCAGGGGGAGGGGGATGTTCCCAGGACCCTCCTTATGAGGAGGTCACGCCCACAAGGAGGCACCATCAGGCTGTGCCTGATTGACAGGCTAGACTCCACTCTACACTTCAAGTTAACACAAGATTATGTAACTACCACAGGCTGCCAACCACAAAGTCAGGAGTTTAAGACAAGCTGCTCCACAGGAGAAAGATGAGGCTTTCTGTTCCTGTAAACAGTTACAGTCTCAGAAGCCCACACCTGGGAAGTTCTACCCTGCCCTAGAGGGTTGCTATGAGTTAAGAATTGACTCGATGGCAGTATTTGTGTGTGTGTGTGTGTGTGTGTGTGTGTGTGTGTG